AGTCAGTTCATATTCAGATTTCTTAAGACGTGTAGCAGAAAAAAAAACTCGATTACATTTCTAATCAACTTCATTTTATAAGCAAGGTTTAATTCATTCAAAATTATTTGTGAAATAACAATCAAAATGAACTGAAGATGAAATAATTAGATTAAAATCGACTAAAAACATTCGCATTTTAATCGATTGTTTAATCAGAAAAACTAAACTGGAATTAGGCTTTTTTTTTAAATTTTTTGGCATAGGATAAACGTTTTTGTCCTGCCAGCCAATCTCTGGTTCAGACCCAATACGACATCCTAAAGACTTTAGCTCAACTGATTAGTAGAAGAAGATTAATAACTGAAATTTTCTAACTAATATGTACTATTTAAAAGAAGTTTTACCTCTTTTGTACATTAAACATTGATTTAAAATAATTAAGTGTTTCTTGCAAATTTTTTAATAAATCTTGTGTAGAAATAAGACTTACTACTGATTTTATAGAAAATAATGTTGTTGAAAGTAATCGTTCAAAATTAACTTTTGTATCTTTATTTGTGTTTGATATTATTGATGAATCTTTATCATTCTCTAAAACAAAAAAACAAACGAATTCCTTCAGACAAGACATGATCCAATACATTCTTCAAATCTAAAACTTTAGAACTCCTTTCTTCTACGAAAGTTGAAATATCAATTATAGAAAATGATCTTCTGCCCAGCACAAAAGATGATTGTGAAGTTTTTTGCAATAGTTCAAGAATATTAATAAAATAATTCAATTTTTGAATAACTTGAATCATTTGTGCTACTTTAAAAACATTTTTTCATTTGTTAAGATTTGATAAATCTTCAAAAAATTAAATTATTAAGATCATTTCATATAAATAGGTGTATAACTAAACAAAGTTCATCATATTGATTATGAAAAAACTGATCGAATTGTTGTTGATCCTAAAACATTTGAAAGAGCATAAATACCTTCTAAATATCCAACTTATATAAAAGACAAAAATAATAAACAGTTTATATTCGAGTGGATGTTTGAGCTAAACAATGAAATATTAATGTTGGTAAGCATGATATTGTTTCGCATTGCACTCCATCATTGAATATAATTACAGAAGTATTTGTTTGTTGTAATGAATAATGAATTTTATGCATCCATTGACAGGAAGAATTGATCCATTTAGGTAAATAATGTATTGACCATTGATATACTAAAAAAATGAATTGTGATCAATAAACCTTAAAATCAAAAAGGAGCTGGTAACTAACTTAATACAATAAAATCGACTGATGCATTCAACTTCGAAAATAAAACTACCTAGTTAACTAACATCTCTACAATTGACATACTTAGCAAAAGTTAAAGTAGCTGCTGGACGAACACTTGTATCATTATCAGTAAGAAATAGAAAGATAATGTCAATACAATGATCAAGTCATGATCGATTCTAAAAATAAAAGTAAAACAAAAAAAACCAAGATATTGTTTTTATCTTCTACATGTGATTAGTTTTAATTTACTGGTTTTTTTAATCTGTTATTGTTGTTATTCAAGATAAGTTAGTATTCGAGAAAATCAATATTACGCACAATTTGAGCTAGAGCAACCTATTTTATACACATAAACCGTTTATTGTAATCATAAGTTTCATTTGTCTACTTTAGCAAGAATATAAGAAATTGTACTATGTTGAGTAGAATCTTCTAATAATTCAATTCCTATGATTGTAAATGTATAACATGTGTATTATTATCCTAAAGACATAATCGAAATGTAGAAAGTAATTCTGATAATATACCTAATTGAATATATTTAAAACCAAAAAGAAAGAATATTTTTATCAAAAACAAGAGACGATTTAATATTCTAATCTAACCTTGAACTATCTTGTGAATCAATTGATACAAGTGAATATTCATTAATAAAAGAATTATTAAATGAATTTGATAATGATAATAGTCTTAAAAGATGAATTGTTCTTTTTAATTAATGTAGCAAGGAAAGAAATTTGCATATGTATCACATAAATGTAGATCGTCTACCTCGATGTTCGATAGATTTTAATGCATTACAAGTCATATAGAGATAAGAATTTCATATCAATTACAAAATTTTTATTTAATCAGAAATCTTCAAAGATTAAAGAAAAACTCATTCGAGAATACAATTGATCTCATATCATAATGAAAAACTGAACATATCTTTCGTACTAGATATGTACGGAATTCGTACTTTAGCTTCAAACTTTGTTTTTGAGGTAATTATGTGATTGTATAATTTCAATCTCTGATATATATAAATGCAGCCTCTGGACTCTAAAATTTTTGTATGTCTAACCTATTTAGTAAAATGCTCTACTCTTTTGTTGGTTTCAAAAAGATTAAAATTTCATATTGTTTTGTTTCAACAATTCAATAGTAAAATCTTCATATCTATCAGATAACTTTTACTAAAACTTTGAGACCATAACCAATTGAAGCCACGTTAACTAAACTCTGTTACAAGCTCCTTCATCAGATTTATCCTATTCATCTGAGTCCTCCTACTGTTACAACATTGGAAATAATTTTGGATTATAAAATAAATGTATTTTACTGAACTGAAACTTTACAAAAAAAAAGTCTCAAACAAGCATTAAACATACTTACAGTAGGATAATCAAATTATTAACACATTGAGCAAATGTCTAATTGGAAAAAAAAACATAATTGATTAACAAGTTTAGCAACTGATGTTTGTTTTTCATTATTAATCATTGATTTTGAATATAATTCATCATTCATTTTATATACTAAAATATCGTGTTGTTTATTCATTTCAATAAATCAACGTTGATATGTTGAATAATCTATTATTTTAGAAAAAATAAAAACTTGCTGTTCTCTTTTCACAATATTTACCTGTGTTTAATGTGTGACTAATACAAGTTACTTCTATAAATCCAATTTAAATCGAAATTAATAATTGATCAAAATCAAATAAATTTAAATATAATTTCATGTGTTTCCAATGAATTTCAAATTACAATATGATCTTTTATGTTGTAGACAAATGTAAAATATCATATCAACATATTAAAAAATAAATATTTACATAGAAAATAAAATCATTCATTATTTATCAAATACTGATTGAAAGATGTTGTTCATTTGTAGCAATATTTCTAGTTCTTGTTATTGATCGTTGACTTTTTCTTGATGATGATTGAACTTTTTTGATATTTAATTTAAGATAACCAATTATTAAATTTGTACTATGATTTTGATTATAATGCTCAAATAATTGATCTGTTAGAATAAAAGACAAATTATAATTAATTGAAATAATTATTTGAAAGAAAACTTACCAATTACATTTATCATTAGAAAACGTGCTATAATCATAGGATAACATATTGACTGAATAGGACACGAGAGGTTCCTGAAAATAATTTATTATTAATATTAGGAAAAAAAAAGAAAAATTCATTCTCACTCAACTTCATACCTTAACTATAACGATTGCTAGTGAATCAACTATGACTAATTTATTTCATTTCTCATTGATATTTAATGATAAATAAAATTTTATTATTCCTACTGCAAATGATGGACAGTTTCTCAATCGGTATTTCGTCGAATAGTATGTGACTACCTATTCTACAATCATTTTCTATGTTTCTATTCAATCGCATAACTTTTTTCTGATTACTTCTTTAGAAGAGGTTTCTTAGATGACAAGAATTTTCTTTTTTACTTACTTTGATTTTTTCATCATTAATTGATCAACCAAGAATATAAAAAAAAGTTCATTATATTCTAATAAAATGGTTGAATCTTTTTCGAATGTATTGCAATTGCTGATTCGTCAAATTGCCATAGAACATTTAATTGAAATTGAAATAAAACAAACCTTTGAATGCTTTTTATTCAACATTAGGATTATCTTTTATAATCCTATTTTATAATTCATACAAAATTATTAAAAAAAAAGAATTTCTTTTATAATACTTTTACAATAGTCGTAACTGATTTAGAATTATTTTCATCTTTATCTCTAGATCAAAAGAAACTTTCGATAACATGTTGTTGTTGAAAATAATTTTAAAACTTCAAGTAATTTGCTTAGTTTATTCATTTTGTTTAATTTATATTGAATTCATTCATTTTAAAGCTAAATAAATAAGTTTAAACATTTTTTGATAATCATAATAAATGAATTAATAGTCGATAGAAAAAGTCTAACGTCGATTGAATATTCACTTTCATCAATGGATGAGCGAAAAACTATTCTACAAATCTTTATATTAGATCCAAAATTTTGACTGTAAATTATTATTTAAAAAAAATCAACTACTGCACTTGATCTATTTGAACTTCTGTTTTATTATATTATATTCAATCAATATGATCGTAAAATAGTATTTTTGTAAAACGTTATGTAATAAGTAACAAAAATCATTAAATTTATAAAAATTCCTTTTTCATTTTCTTCTTTCAATTATCTCTTATATATGTATATGTGACTAATCAAAGAGAATAGTCGATAATCTTTTTTTTTTGTGTTCTTCTTTCCTTCAATCATCACTCGTATAATATGATATTGAGTGCACGGCATCTCATTTGTTCTTACACATTCCAGATGAAAAGAAAAATAAATTGAACATAACATGTGTAAAGACAATATAGATATCGTGCACTCAATATCACTGCATGCGTTAAAACAACCGGTTGTCATCATACGCTGCGTGTATTAAAATTCCGTCAACGTCGCCTTTCTTCGCGTTTCTATGTTTCTTCTCATTCTTCGTAACAGAAGAACAAAAAAATTAAAAACAAACGGAGCTTTTGAGGGTGGCTCTAAAACAAAATGAACCTTTCCAGGGATATCCGACGTTCTGTTGGTAACCTGTACAGGCGTGTAGATGGTAGGCCTTTATAACATACATCCATGTATGTATGACTAGAAGCATCCATCTCGCCATCGTCTTTCCGAAGATGATGATCATGGATGTACTAGTCATACATACATACATATATGTATTTTTGCCTTATCATGGCCCGCTTTGTCCACTGTACAACCCAACGGAATACGGAGGGTATCCTTGGTCGCGCGCGCGCGAAATTATTGCAGCTGGTGTGCTTTGGCGAGCCAAACGTGTTCAATAAGGCGAATTTATTTTCTCGTTTAAAAAAAAACAATTACATTTTCTTTTTCACATTGTCAATGTTTGTTTTCACAAGTGCAATATGTGGATGATTTGAAGGTAGTGATTTTTGGAAGATTTCTTGCGCCTTTTCATAATATGAAAGTGCTTTCGAGCACTCGCCCATGTGAGTATACACATTACCGATGTTGAGGTAGGAAGCAGCCAAGTTGAGATGATTCGGAGGGAGAGCTATTTTTCGGATTTCCAGTGATCGTTCGTGCGATGAAAGTGCTTTCGAGTACTCGCC